TGAATCTGGTGTCAATGGCCGGGCGTTTAACGGCAGAAAATCTGGGCATCTATTCAATGAGCAAACACGCGGCCATCTCTTTCTCGGATGGACTCCGACGTGAGACCCGGAAGTGGGGAATCAAAGTATCGACGATAGAGCCGACCGCCTATAAGACTCCGATGGCTGGACCCGATTACTTCACTCGGGAACTGGAAAAACAGTGGAACGAGAGTTCGGATGATGTGAAGCAATTGTACGGACAGGCATACTATGACCACTTCAAGCAAAGGAAGGACAGGCTGACTGTAGCCAAGACGGGCGAAGATATCTATGAAGTGATCGACAAAATAATTGATGCCATCAGAAGTCCTAACCCACAAATCAGATACGTGGCCGTCCCCGGAAAGGCATACAACAAAATCGCTATATTTTTAGCACAACTCATGCCATTAGAAATTTATGACCCCATCTTCGCTCATAAGAGTACCCGAGAGCCCAAACCCTCAGGTCTTCAGCGACTCGTAAATGAGGAATAATTTCATAATAATTGTAATAAATATTAAATTTTTGAATACAATTTCACTATAAAATTCTTGGTTATATGATATTTTTATTTATATTGATTCTAATAATCCACAATAAAGTATGAGCTAATGATTGTGTAATGAAATGCCAATGTAATGTGTGTACAGTATGTTAGTGTACTAAATTAGTATTGTAAATGCTGAGATTTATTCTCATTTCTTATCAAATAATTTTATCAGTAAAAATACTAATTTAACGCCTATTTATATAAAATATTATAATATAAATAATATAATACTGTATTAACTTATATCTGTGGTTTTATACTCGAAATATAAAGTTATCAGTTAAATGTAGATATAGTATCCCTATGTTTTGCACTAAAAGTACCTCTTTTCTCCTTCAACCAAATCAAAGTCAATTATATATTTATTTGTCTTATATTTGCTTTTATATGACATTTCATAAGAGTGTAGAGATTGAGTAAAGTCTAGACTTTTGGATCGCTGCAAAAATGTCTTTGAGTAAAATATTTTCATTAAAATGTTTTGTAACGCAATATCTGTTGGCATTTTTGGCGCTTTATTTGGCGGTTAACGTGAGCTGTTGTTTCGGATGTCTGGTCTCATGGGTGGGCCGTATGTTTGTGGTGTCGGCACTGGCCTGGGGTCTCACCAAAAAGATCCGCAAACGCCTTAATAAAGAGTTTCTCACTTCATATAAGAGAGCCGTTTTAGTAACAGGTACTGAAAGGCATTAACAAAATTTTACGACTTTTTAAAAATCTAAGACAAAAACATAATTTTTTTAATTACTTCAATATTTGATGGAAAGGTTGTGACAGTGGTTTCGGTAATGCCTTAGCCGTGAAGCTCAATGAACACGGATTCCGAGTCTACGCCACTGTATTGGACACAGAGAGTGAAGGCGCAAAGAAACTTATATCTGGACAACGATTTGAAGGCAAAACCAAAGTCGTGAGAATGGATGTGACGAGTGATGAAGATGTGAAAGCAGTTTACGAACAAATTCAGAAGGATTTGACTCAAAATGGGGAGCTAGAAACTCATATCTGGACAACGATTTGAAGGCAAAACCAAAGTCGTGAGAATGGATGTGACGAGTGATGAAGATGTGAAAGCAGTTTACGAACAAATTCAGAAGGATTTGACTCAAAATGGGGAGCAATTGTGGGCAGTGGTCAACAACGCCGGTATCATAACACTGGGACCACTCGACTGGGGAACAGTAGACACATATAAACGTATTTTCGAAGTCAACACATTTGGTATGGTTAGGGTCTCCAGAACTTTCCTACCATTGATTAGACAATCAAAAGGTTAGTAACAAAACGAATTCTCATAATTCATAACTTCCTAATCACTGCAAAACTTTATTAAGATATAGTTTCGCTATATTTTTTATAGAGACGAGTTTTACATTAAATTGAATTTTGATTTTTCTTTACCTTTCATGTCTTTCAATTAAATTCAATGTTATTTCTAATCTGTAATCTCAGGCCGTATTGTGAATCTGGTGTCAATGGCCGGGCGGTTTACAGTCGAGAATCTGAGCATATATTCAATGAGCAAACACGCGGCCATCTCTTTCTCAGATGGACTCCGACGTGAGACCCGGAAGTGGGGAATCAAAGTGTCGACTATAGAGCCCATGGTTTACAAGACACCAATGGCTGGACCCGATTACTTCACTCGGGAAGTAGAGAAACAGTGGAACGAGAGCTCAGAAGATGTGAGACAACTGTACGGACAGGCATACTATGAAAACTATAAGACTAGAAAAGACACACTGAAAGTGACTACGGCTGGAGATAATATCTATGAAGTGATCGACAAAATGGTTGATGCCATCAGAAATCCTGATCCGAAGATAAGATACGTGGCGATCCCCGGAAAAAAATTTCATAAAATCGCTATATTTTTAGCACAACTCTTGCCATTAGAAGTTTCTGACCAAATGTTTGCCCACAGGACTACCGGAGCGCCCAAACCCGCAGGTTTACAGCAACTCGTAAATGAAGAATAGTTTCATGATTTTTGATACAAATATTAAAATTTTTTATTTTAATTTTACGAGTCGTTTATATATTTTTCAATTAACTAAAAGCCAAATATTGTATTTTTAATTTTGTAATCAAATGCAACTAGAAATAACAAAAAAATAATTGAATGTTGTTTGCATTATTTAATTACTTTATTAAAAATTAATAGTGTATAAAACCAATTGAGATAAAGCACGCAATTATTTTATTCAGTGATAAGTGGTGTTATTGAATGTACACTTGCACTTTGCATGTACTTTATTTTACAAAGTTACACTTACTGTTAATGTACTCAAGGTACAGTAAAAATTTATATGGATATTTATACTGTAAGCAGAGGTCTCTATTATTTAATATTAGCCTATTTTGAAAATTGAATTAAAATGAGATCAAAAATCAGACCTTAATTGCTGTTAAATAAATCATTAAGAAATGCATTCACCCGTTTAATGTCCAGTAATGAAATTAAAACAATACATAATGTAATGTCTAAATATTAAAAATTATTTTATAAATTTTAATTTATCATAACAAGAGAATGAACAAGGATGTAAAACATTCGTTGAGCATTTAAATGTTTCTAATTAAATAATCTATTTTACAAATACCAAAATGATTTATTTCCGAAATATACACTATTTTTAATTTACAATTCTTTGTGTAACTTTTATTTTTATTTCATTTATTTTTTATGCAAACATTTGAATATCAATGCAATTATTAACGCGGAACTACTGATTGTAATTTGTTAAATAATAATAATAATTAACACATTAATTATGGCACACAAATTATGACAATTAAAGAAATTCACAATAAGAGTATATAAAGGACTTGAAATTAATTTTAATTTAAACTTTTTTAAAAATGAAAATAAAACTTGTATTGTGCTTTCTGTGCCTTTGTCTATTAAACATATCAGTAAGTGGTCGGCGCCATGGAGGAGATATTATAATACTCGGCGGCAGTAGTGGTCATACGGAGGAAGAGATACATTACGTGCCAATACCTGTGCCAATGAAGGGTTACCCGTAAATATTGTTTTGTATTAAAATTATAAACATATTTACTGATTTCTATAAAAATATTAATCTTTATTTCCAAACAACATAGTGTATATAATAAAGATTGCATTATATAAATATTTAGTCTACATAATAATAATGTTTTAATATTTTGTATTTATTATAAATAATTATAAATATTAGGCATATGTTTGACTAAATCTTATGCTAATCAACAGAATGATGAACGGTTTCGGAAGAACTTTTGGTGGTTTTGGGGGTACAATGGCTGGAGGTTTCGGTGGAGGTTTCGGTGGAGGATTCGGTGGAGGATTCGGTGGAGGTTTTGGTGGCGGTTTCAGTGGTTCATCAGATGATGACGACGAGTGAAATTATTAATATTTATTTTTTATTATCAAAATTAGCAAATAGTCTATTTAATTATAAAATGCTGTACAGAATCCATCTGTATTAACGCATTCATTTTCATTTTGTTAAATAATATGGTTAATTTTTAATGTCAATAATCGTTTAATTGATTTGTATTATTAATAAATTTCCATTTCTTTTGATTTTATTTGATTATTAATTTTCAAGTAATATCTGATATAAAATTCAATACTATTTTGAATAATTTATAATTTATTGAACTTTACATTTGAAAAGATGAGGGCATTATGAATGGCACTAAATTAGTGCTACTAACTCACCAAATAAAACAAAATAAACGTTTTAACAAATCCATAAATTAATTTAAAACGATTATTTAATACTGGTATTGATGCAAATAACCCATACAATAAATCCCTATATAAATCAATACACTTTTGTCAAATAGTTCATATAATTAAAAAATCACAATATTTGAAAAGTTCAAAAAAATTAGAAAACTCCTCACAAATCATAAAAATGAAATTATCCATTGCAATACTGGTCACTTTCTTAGCCGTTTGCAACTGCAATGTCATAAACTTCAGACAAGGTTTGTATTAAAAGTGTATTGTTTTAATAACTTGTGACTTAAAACTAAAACTCAATGTTTTGCCTTAAAAGCAGCGGAATCCGAGCAAAACCGAGACTTGAATTTAAATAAAATAATTGGATTCAAACAATTCGAGGAATGGCTTCGACTCCTTCAGTCTCAGATGACACGTCTCACCGATCAGTTCAACCGTCTGTTGACCCCCAGAGAGGGCCGCCTCTCGAGCAACGATTTGGCTCAAGTGAAGGCAACCGTCACCGAAATCGACTCATCCATCAGTCAATTGAATGGAAAGTTTGGCGGAAGTGCTCTGGAGGCCAGGGAAGGCGACCAGAACAGAGACTTCTCGCTCTCCAGAGTTCCTGTCTTTGAACAGATCGAGGAAATGTTGAAATTGGTTCAAAAACAAATCACTGGTATGTTTGAGCACTTGTATACACTTTAACCGCAATTAAATGTTAATTGTTGGGACAGACGTGTCGACAACTCTGACCCGAGCACTGACTGGTGGTCTCGATCTGAAGGGAACGGCCGCTGAGGAGATGAACAAAGACCTGAACGGCGGTGTCATGTCTCAGGTGCCGTTCCTCAAGGAGTTCGAGGAATACTTGGAACTGTTCCAGAAGCAGATCAACCGGTTCGGTGGTACCGTACAGCGAATCATCCAGGGTGGACAGGGAGTACGACAGGGCTCTTAAACTAATTGACTTTTACCATACTTTTGTAACTTTTAAACAATTTTTTGCTATATATTTGTGTAAAACTTATGTTTTAATCCAATATTTTCTCCCATTTATTATCTCCGATTTGCTTTGACTTCAAAATACATTTAATTTTTTTCGTTTGTTTTTTGTTTTGTTTTAGAAAACTTTTTTATTTAATTATTTTTTGAATCCGATTCTCGTTTACCCCGGTTGTTTTATTGTGACCCCAGCATTACATACAGTCTCCGAGTTATATACAAAAATAAATGTTTATATTGTTTTATATATAATAAACAGATTTGTATTGAAAAACTAATAATTTGTATTGAAAATTCTGGATAACATTTAGTGAATAAAACATTTTGATGTGAAAACTTTTTGTCACTTTTCAACAACTTTGAGAGAAATTCAAACTTCTTAACAAAACATCATTTTTGTATCACTTTATGTGAATCACAAACACACTATTTATAGTGAATTACTTTTTACTAGTTTATTAAGTTTATAAACTTATTTAGAGTGCATTAGTTAATTAAAATAATTATTATATAACCATTTGAATATGTGTGATAAAACATACTCTCGCTATAGTGAACACCTATTATCCAGAGCCGGTTGTATGAATAGTGAGAGTTGACTGTAAATAGTGTTGAAAAGCATGCAATCATTACATCAGATGTTCACAGCATTTGAGTCGAGAAAACACACAAAACTTGTGTTGAATTCAAAACAAAACAATACTTTTGATCGTTGTTTGCATTCATTGTAATCTCAGTTTGCATTCACTTACCACTCGCTCCCGAAGTAATTGTCGTCAAAGAAGTCACACAACGAGTCGGACGCCATGTTTGAGGACACGGATGAGTCCGGCGGTGATAACAACGTCGACGAAGACTTTTACGCCTTTCTCAATGTCTCCAAACAGGTCTGTAGACTATCATCACTGCCGGCGACCACCCATTGTCTCACCGCTTATCTGATCCCATAGGCGACCAACGATGAGATTACACGCGCCTACAAATCGATGTCCAAACGTCTCCATCCGGACAAACACATGGATCCGGAGCTCAAGAAAGAGGCGGAGATTCTGTTCAACAAAATGAAGAAAGCATACGACGGTTGGTATCAATTGATCCCATGATATGCCACTCACTCGGCGACTGACATATGATTAACGTGTTGTATGTCTTTGTATCTGATCTGTTGGTGACGATTGCAGTGCTCATTGACCCCCACATGAGAGCCATTTACGACACTATCGGCACCAAAGGTCTGGAGACTGAGGGCTGGGCTCTGATGGAGAAGAAGAAGTCGCCGCAAGAGATACGCGAAGAATACGAGCGATTGGTTCGCGAGAAAGAGGAGCGCCTTCTGTTTACGACACTATCGGCACCAAAGGTCTGGAGACTGAGGGCTGGGCTCTGATGGAGAAGAAGAAGTCGCCGCAAGAGATACGCGAAGAATACGAGCGATTGGTCCGCGAGAAAGAGGAGCGCCTTCTGCAGCAGAGGACGAACCCGAAGGGCACTATCAGTGTGCAGATCAACGCCACGGATCTGTTCGACCACTACAGCGACTGGGAGGCCGTGTACTACCCGTCCATTGAGGTCTCGTCGATGTCTATCTCGCAGTCCATCGACGCGCCGCTCACTCTGAAAGACACGATGACTTTGTCGGGATCGCTCACATCACACAACGGCACCGGACAGGGAACTGTCGCCACATCCCTGCGACACGTGATCTCAGCCAAGACGTGGACCGAAGTGGAGTTGGCTGCAGGACAGGGACCCGTCATTACACTCAAAGGCTTCCGCAACTTCACGAAGAAAATGCACTCAAACTGTCATATTTTGCTGCACTTTAGTCCTATCGGTATCCGACCGGGACTTCAATGCGGTATTCATTTTGATCTTTGGTTTCATTTCATTGATTTGTGTTTAAGTTTTTTGTCATTAATTTTGATTATATTTTGATTTTTGTATGAATTTTAGTGTTGAGCCGTCATTTAGATAAGCATTTAATCGGTTACATCACACTGAAGGCCGGCATCCAGTCGTGCATCAATACGATGGTGGCCTGGGATTCACAGCGGGCGCGGGTTATCTGTTCCGTTCAGTTAGGCTTTCCTCACTGCTTCCTAACCACCAGTTATTTACATAAATTGGAGGAAAACGACACTAAACTCAAAGTTGCCGTAAAGTGTGTCTCAAAACTTTATTTTAGTTTTATAACTTTAATTTAATTTTTATTTATTGCCGTTTCTAAAGGGCCGGTACTTTTGGCGCTGTAGTTGAGTACGGCTGCGAAACCCGACTCTCCAAACATAGTATAATCGGTGCCTCCATTTCAATAGGCGTTCCGTCCGGTGTTTCGCTGCGTTTGAGGTTTTATTTGTGAAAATTCTGCCCGAGTTTTGAATGACTAAAACTTTTATCGCATTTCAGACTAAACCGCGCGAATCAGTCCTACATTTTCCCCATACTATTGAGCGACGAATTACTGCCAAACGCCATATTTTACGGAACAGTTGCGCCACTCATTAGTTTCTATTGTCTCAAGACTTTTATTATAAATCCGTATAATAGGCGTCAGTCCGAGAAAGAGAGGGAACGGATGCGGACACAGAATAAGACTAAAATCGTTGAGCGACGCAAAGAGGCTGAGTCTGTGATTGCACTCATGAGGGAGTTGTACGCCAGGACTGTGGAAAGGGAGACCGCTAAGAATGGACTGCTTATAACACGAGCTCTTTATGGTAATGAGTCGGTTATTCAACGCTTCAAAGACGGCGAAGAATTGTTGCCATTGGATGAGGAGGCGTTTGATGTGATGCTACCCCTCCAGTGCTTAGTTAATACGGACTCTACGTTAACCATAACCGATGCCAGTAAAGCACAGTTACCCGGCTTTTACGACCCCTGTATGGGTGAAGACAAGAAACTGTTTATTAGGTATAAATTTAATGATAATATTCATGAGATTCTGGTCGATGACAACCAGTCGGTGAACATACCATCAAAAGGTTTGTTACTATTTGTTATTTATTTGTTGATAGATTTCTTATGTTTTACTATTTTTGTCCCAATTTAGCACATCTTCAAAGTTAGGAATGAATTCTTATTATTATTATTTCATATATTTTTGACATGAATTTTAGTTTCACTTTTGAATAACTTTTATAGTCATTAGAGGTTGTGTTCAAAAATAGTAAAAGTAATTTAAATTATATTGTATTAAATAGTTGTTAATATTTATATTGGAAAGTCATTTGAAGTATATTTAGTTTTAAAGTACGGTAGAAATTATATTAAAATTTTTATAAATAAAATAAAATATATTTCTTTTTCGAGTTTTACTCATAACTTAGTTATGTTTCAATTTATCATATTCTCAACAAATGTATGGAAATACGAGAAGTTTTAACTTTTTTGTACCTGTAGTTAAAATGAATTACCAATTTCACTTTTATTAAAATACACGCATTAAAATGAATTATTTTTTACCAATACCCTGATATATGATTTAATTCTACGGTAATAACATCTGTGAATAGGTATTACGAGTAAATAATTTTATTTTTAGTTTTGATTCAATGTTTGAGTTCTGCGTTCATTCAAAAACAGAATGAGTGATCACTTGATTGATATCAAGTCTTCCATAAGAAGTGTTGAATACCATTGAGTAGCAGAGTTCAGCCATATCTGCACTGATGGCCTGTAGGCCCTGTACTCCCGCATCACTTCCTGAGGCAATATTCCAGAGAATGGCCCGAATCTCATCGGCTCCTAAACTGTCAAAACGTGTCGTACCTATCAATGACTCGGCTAATGACATACCCAATGAATACACATCGCAAGGTTTGACCCAATAATCGACGGAACCGTTCATTTCGGGTGCCATATAGGCTGGAGTGCCCGCAAAGTAGCCGCCGGTCAACCGCATGGGCTCGTCCTTTAGAAATACTATAGAGAAGCCGAAATCAGCCAATTT